TGTAAATTCTTATTTTCCAATTCGACTCTGATAATAAAAAGAAGATACCACTTTTTGATAAAGGGGATGGTTTTTAAAAGAAGGAAATAAATTATTCCTTTTTTTAAAGCAAGTACATTTGACGAATTTTGTAATTAATGTATTGAAATATTTTATTATTGAAAAGGTAAGTTTATTTTTAAGAGTTACATATTTAGATAAGAGAAACACAATTATATTGGTAAATCAAATTGCTATCTTTCTTATATAACCATCCAAATTGGAGTTGGAAAATACAAAACTGAGTGAGAAAAACCTGCAGCTGTGTAATGCATTTAGAGATAGGTAATAGTGGTAGTAAGGATGTGGTCTTTGTTAAGTTGAACAATGTTGTGTGCGTCTTTTGATCCTGCACAATCACATTGAAGTTTAACAAAATCTACAGAGATAAGTGTAACTTTTCTTCTTTTTTTATAAACATAGAACAGAAACAAAAAGAGAGGATGTTTTTCCTTTATTTTCTAACATATATTTTTCCACCCCAGGTATGTTTTTCTGCCCTGAACAACTTTTATTTTGTAGCAGCAAGGCTTTATCCATACATCTGAATGATCTGTGCAAGTTCTCACCTGTGGTGTTGATCATGCTCTTAGGGGTTGCTGTTGCAGCAGCGAAAATGTTGGGTGTGCTGCCAGGAGTGGCCGATCCGCAGGTGGTGGGTGTGCCCACCGTGTTGACTGACAGGCTGCCTGGTGGGGGCTTTTTCACTGGAACAACGACACTCCTAAAAAAAGATTGGACACAAAACCATGAGGCAAAGAGGCACATGAGACACCAGAGAGGAAGTTTGCTCTTTATGTTCAAACAGTACTGAACTGACGTGACAGTCAGTCAGACAGTGTGGCAACATGAAGCGACAGGTGACAACATATGCCAGTAGTAGTGTAGAAAAGCCTCTCATTTAACAGACTGAACAATATTTTTTAGATTTGGCTCTTTTTTGCTTGTTTCATTTATTTGAAATAATATGGAAATTATTGAATTAATCAGCTAATATAAAACCAAAGTAATAAAGCCAATATTCTAATATTTCTATCTAGAAATCCTCTCCCAATGGAAACTTGATGGTTGAATAAAAGCAAACTTTAACAACTTTTTTTTTAAGGGAGAAACATAATTTTTCCTTGAAAAATTTAAAGAAATCCAACCAACAATTTGAGTGTATTAATGCAGCTACAGATAAAACCAATATTGTTTTTATTTCTTTCTTTAAGATATAGTAATAGCTCTGCTAATCTCCCAGGCCTTTATCTCCAAGTCACTCTTAAAAATGAAAAGTAATGCTACGTTTACACCAGACATGCTTTTGGCAGCAAAAAAAGTGGCTGCTGCTTCACTTTTTTATACGTGTAAACATTAAGATCCAACGTGCTTCAAAAGCATCTCGGATGCTCCTGAAGTGCATCCGGTAAAGTTCATCAGATGCATCTGATGCTTCTGCTGCTCCTGTGTTGAATGGCAGAGAATGGTTTAGCTATATTTGCTGTGATCAGTGGGTAAAAAATAGTTCCAATATTTCTAAATGAGAAAGTCCACCTTAAAACATCTTCTATGCAGTCAGTTCATTAAGATTACAATACTGCCATAAAATATTATTTTGCCAGTGGAACCGCTCAGACCCCCACATACCAGTGTTGTCTGTCACTGGGAATCCCCAGCAGCAGCTGGGGGGTTCCCCCTAGAGTTGCGGAGGAAGTAGCGTTTTTCAGGTATGTGGTACAAACTACAGGCACCGGAATAATAAAAGCAAACATATTTTGCCGACAAGTTTCGACATTTAACATTAATCTGGGCCATAATAAACAGTTTCAGAGGAGTGATCATAGCGATCCGCTTCAGCAACCTTTGACTTTGCATGTAAACCAGCTGCTTCTGCTGCTTCAGTCGCGTGCAGTGTGAATGTAACATAATATTGATGCAAAAGGACAGATGAGACCAGAGCCTGTAGAGGCTGGAATGATAATATAAACCTTTGCTTCTGCTTTGGGTTCAATGCAAATAATTGACTCTGGATAGAAGTTAGTCCATCCTATTACTTTAAAACAAATGTAATTCATTATTTCCACCTCAACAACATTGTTTGAGTGAAAACATTTCCTGTTTTAGCAGTCAAACAACTGGTAGTGTCTCCCAAAACAAGTAAAACCGGGGCATGACTGGGTCTTGCATTAAGAGATCGGAACCAAGCGTTTCCAATCAGAGCCTCTGTATTCTTTAACATTTGGAAATGTTAAAGTAGACAGATACTAACATTTCTTGGATTGGTGATTTATTGAGATTATTTAGTTATTTCCCCACTTATAGCTTATATCTTAAAATTCATGTACTAAAATATAATAGTAGATTTTTCCCGTTATTTTAGAGTGAGATTACGCTACCCAAATATCTATTTATTGATTTCTACAAGCACTTAGACAGAATGCCTAAAGTGGGTCGAAAATATGGAGAGAGGCCTTAAGAATGATGCAGATATCCTGGAGGGATGAATGTAGAGCAGCTGCTATTAATAATGCATACTGTATTCAATCAATGACTTAGCTCACAGAAGCAGTGACAGAGCAGGATCAAGGAGACTAGATGATGCAGAGGAAACTCAAGCAGCTCATCAATTTTCAGATGAGAGTGTAGACTAAACAAAAGGACTAACCATTGCCTTATTAGTCATTTTAAAAGCATTCTTTAAAATATCCAAATAGATTTTATCTGGTTTCTTTTTGTTTCAGTGAAGGAAAAATGAAACTGCTGTTAAGTGAATCTATGGGTCTTAATCAACAAAGACCATCACCACCCGAGCCAACCAACGGCCCTGGATGACTGAGGAGGTCCGCCACGCGCTAAAAGCACGGAACTCAGCCTTCAAGTCTGGTGACAAGGAGGCACTGAGGACAGCTAGAGCCACCCTGAACCGTGCCATCAGGTTAGCAAAGCGGAACCATAACCAGAAAATCCAGCATCTGTTCCACGACGCCAACAACACCAGGAGCATGTGGCAAGGCATACGGGCGATCACAGACTACAACACGCCCCCTGCCCCGGTGGATGAAGTTGATGCTGACTTCCTAAACGGACTAAATAACTTCTTTGGGAGGTTTGAGGCACTAAATCGCACTCCAGCAGTGAAGGCTGTCCCACATCAGGAAGAGGAGGTTCTCTGCCTTGACACAGCCGACGTGTGGAAGACTCTGAGGAGGGTCAACCCGCGGAAGGCCCCAGGTCCCGACAACATACCTGGGCGGGTGCTCAAGGAGTGTGCAGGTCAGCTAGCTGGTGTCCTCACGGACATTTTTAACACCTCGCTGGAGCAAGCCACAGTGCCAGCATGCTTCAAGTCTGCCTCCATCATCCCAGTGCCAAAGAAACCTCAAGTCACCTGCTACAACGACTACCGGCCCGTCGCACTGACTCCCATCATGATGAAGTGCTTTGAAAGGCTGGTAAAGGAACACATCGTCTCCAGTCTCCCCCCAACACTCGACCCGTTCCAGTTTGCCTACCGGCGAAACCGCTCCACTGAGGACGCCATCTCCTCTGCTCTTCACCTGAGCCTGGCCCACCTGGAGGAGAAGAACACCCACGTGCGGATGCTGTTCCTGGACTTCAGTTCAGCGTTTAACACCATCATCCCACAGCACCTGGTGGGAAAGCTGGAACATCTGGGCTTCAACACACCCCTTCGAAACTGGCTGCTGGACTTCCTCACCAACAGACCTCAGTCAGTCCGGGTCGGTCAGAACACCTCTGATGTCATCACCCTCAGCACGGGCTCCCCTCAGGGCTGCGTCCTGAGCCCCCTGCTGTTCACCCTGATGACATATGACTGCGTCCCCAGGTTCACCACCAATCACATCGTGAAGTTTGCGGACGACACCACGGTGGTGGGCCTCATCAGGGACGACAACGACCGGGACTACAGAGAGGAGGTGGAGCAGCTGGTGGACTGGTGCAGTGAAAACAGTCTGATCCTGAACGTGGAGAAGACGAAGGAGATCATCGTCGACTTCAGGAAAAACCGCCCCCACCATGCTCCACTGCTCATCAACAGCTCAGCTGTGGAGGTGGTCAGCAGCACAAAGTTCCTGGGGGTGCACATCACGGACAACCTCACCTGGACTGTAAACACTTCATCTCTAGTGAAGAGGGCACAGAAGCGCTTGTACTTTCTGCGGAGGATGAGGAGAGCCCGCCTGCCCCCGCCCATCCTCACAACCTTCTACAGAAGCACCATAGAGAGCGTTCTGACCAGCTGTCTCTCTCTGTGGTGTGGAGGCTGCAGAGCTTCTGACTGGAAGAATGTGAGGAGGGTGGTGAGGACAGCGGAAGGAATCATTGGGGCTCCTCTTCCCTCCATTAAGGACATTTCATCACAGCGCTGTGTGTCCCGAGCCCGTAATATCATCAAAGACCCCTCACACCCCCACCATGGACTGTTCTCCCTGCTGCCCTCTGGAAAGAGGTTCCGCAGCATCCGCTGCAGATCCACCAGGTTGTGCAACAGCTTCTTCCCCACTGCCATCAGACTGTTGAACCTTTGATCCACAACCCGAACTCTGCACCTATTGCACATTATCGGGCATCAAATGCTGCTGAACTTTTAACTTTTAGCCCTTTAAATTGTTCATCTCATTGTATTTTTCAATAACGCATTTTTTGCACAAATGCCATTTTGCACTGAACCACTGCAACTTGCACACTGTCTCTTATCCTCTGCACTGTTCACACTTTGACCACTGCTGCACTTTTTGTATTTTTCTATAACTCGTGCCATTTGAAATATCAATGCAACGTTCATAAGCTGTATGTAACGCAATTTCGTTCTGTATGCACCCTGTGCATACAAAATGACAAATAAAGAAGTCTAAGTCTAAGTCTAAGTCTAATCAATGTTGACTGTAATAACTTTTGGATGTGTTTTAAAGTGAGTGCTGACAAATCTATTTCTTTTTTTGTTGGTCTCCTTGTAGATATGACTGACCTGTCAAAGGAGTGGAACTGCATGGGCAGCATGGGATGGGTCTTCAAGGCAGGGTCTGGGTGGTACGGTGTTGGTCCGGACTCCTGACCCAGTTCTGTGCCGTCAATGGGAGCGGCCACCAAGCTCTTCAGGATCTCCTGCATTTCAGGGAAATAATAAAATCTGGTGAACAATGAATTATTACTGTGGACACAATTTGATTTGTGTCACAGAAACAGAAAAATAGGTCTAAAGAAGATTTAAACTATGAAAGCACAGCCTGTCAGCAGAGGTACAGTGAAAGCATTTTATCTATTTATTTCTTTTTAAAGATTCTGAGGCTGTTTTAATGCAAACTGCATAGATAAAAATATAGATCAGTCAGCCTGACTGTATATCAACAGGTTCAAAGATGCATGACACATAATAAAGCAGAAAAATGAACACATTTTATTTCAGATAGACAACCATAAATTAATTATTAAGGCAAAAGATGTCAGATAAATAAGCTTCCCACCCCCTAACAGCTAGTGTTACTGTCTTTCAGAGAGATTGTTTCTTGTCCAGATTAAAGGTTTGCTTCTTTCCTACTGCATGTTCAGCCGTTTGCATCTCATTGAGATCTGGGTTTTGATATTTCCCATTTTAAGCCTGTCCTGGGTGCTTCCACTAGTATATGTTTTTGATCTTTGCCATGCAGCAGGGATCTGCTTGCATTTTAATTTCTTCTACAAATGTTTCCTCATTTTATCAAGTAGGTACCCTCTCATACTTTTTTAGAAGTCTTGGTGTCTAGATTTGATACTGACCAAGTCCTGCTGCACCAAAGCCTGTCCAAACCGTGACACCTCTGCAGTAGCTTCATGCTTTACAATTAATATGAAATCCTTTCCTGTCATGCTGTATTTGATTTTTGACAAGCATATCCAAATATTTAAACTAAAGATTCCTTAGAAAAGTGTATAAGAATAACATAATAGTGACGAGTTAAAAAATAAACAAATCAAAACTGTAGTGTAAAGTGTTTTAACAATATAAATTCTGTGCACCTGGAGAATAAATAACCAATTAGGGACATTTTTACAGTAATGGATATTTGAAAATAGCAGTAACATCAGAGATGTGCAAAATGCAAGCAGCGTGTTTTCACTAACAAGCGCAATAACCTGCAGTACAGTAGGACCCATGAGGGTTTTTCCGGTTTATTTCAGGATACTGTGGTGTGCATTCAGGCTAAACTTGCTTGAAAAGGGGGGAACTTTGTACGTTAGAGCATTTTTAACCACTTACCGGGCTCTGGTAGCTGCAAAAATCAGAAGGCTCCTCTCCTATCGTTACTTTAACTTCATTAATCAGGTGCACTGACTAAAGCCAACCTAATTCAGAGCTTTTTTTGGGGCAAACCAAATGCTGAAACAATACTCTCATCATGTACATCTAGTGAGGTCTAAAATGCACACGTGTAAATTAGGCCTTTTTAAAAGAGAATAAATTAGATTTTTTTTTATTAAAGAACAGTTTAAAGATTTTCTTCTTTATTGTTTAACTGGTATTAAAACCATTTTTTTCCAAATACGTCAGAAGAACACAGACTTGATATAATATCCTTGTTTTAAGCTCACCTTCACATTAATGCCTTTGTTTGTTTGGCTGATGCTAGAGATGGATGAAGGAGGGGCTTGGCTCGAGTTCGGAGTGGATCTGGGCTCGTGGGGAGAATCCAGAAGGCTCTCCTGCGACCTTCGCACATCAGACAGACTGCACAGAAGATCTGTGCCTCCTCCCCCACTTCCTCCCACTCCTCTTCCATTGTCTCTGTCTCGGTCTCTGTCTGTCTCTCTCCCCACCAGGCCCAAACCGAGCCCTCCAAGGCCCACCTCTGAGCCGTTGAGAGATCCGGCCACGTGTCCTTCTTCTCCGATGCCTGAGTCTGTGTGAGGGAGGCCGGCGAGTGGGGAGTCGTCCACGGGGGTAGGGGTCTGCTTGTCGCGGTCAGTGAAGGCTGAGGATGGGTGCTCTTTTGTGATGAGAAAAAAATACATTTCATTGTTTTAATTAAAACACCTCTATACCGATAAGGAAATATGATTATATGACTGAAAATAATCTACTAACATCTTTTCTTGTAAACTTTGGTTTGTTCTGAATAATTAAAAAACATTTGGGGGGGTGGGGTATGATATCCCTGGCAGATTATTGCATGCAGCCTGTATTTTCTCCACTCCAGCGTTGAAGTGATGAGTCACTGGTGAATAACTGATATGTACAAGATGAAGTAAAAGAAGAAAAACACAGAAACAATCACCTGTACTGGTTGGAGAGTTTATCTCGTGGCGGATGCTTCTCCCCGACAGGCTGGTGGACCTGCCAATCTCTCTCTGTGGTTCCAAAATGTCTCGGTATTTTGACACCATGAGAACAGAGATGAAGTATACGACTGCAAGCGCCAAAAACTGCGCTTGCTTACTGTCATCCTGCAGTAAAAAAAAAAAAAAAAAAAAAAAAACACAAAATATACATTGTAAATAGAGAGCATTTTACACTTGTGTTATAAAGGAAAAAAAAAACACAAACAGGCCTGCTCACCACATCTCTGAAGACCACCGCTCGAAGACGGTTGATATCCACGTCCTGCAGGAGTCTGTCTGGATCCTGCTGAGAGTATAAGGCATGAAATGTATTTGGTCACAGGTGTCAAAGCCTCTGTCTCATCCTTAAGGTGCTACAGGATGCGAATATGATGAAATGTCTGTTTGGTACCTTGCTGGCAGTGGAGGCACTGTGGAGGCTGTCCTGTGACTTGCTGCTGGTTAATGAAGACTTGCAACTTCGATCTCTCTGTCTTTGTCTGCACTCCAGGCAGTTTCTGACAGCTACACAACAAACTGAAGGCAGAAGGAGAAAACATGTAAAGATGGTATGATGCTGAGGGCTACATAAAGCTACAGGTGGATCCCTCTGCTATGCCTAATGATGTTTTGCAATTTGGTTTTTCCAAGTTTGATTTTTCAGCTAAATTAGAAGAAAATATTTGATGTGCAGTATAACAGATTTGTATTTAGCAAAAACTTTAAAAAAAATACATTCTTTAGGTGTTTGCAGACTGAGGTATAAATCTGTAAGCATGAAAAGCAGACCAGCAAATTTGAATTTCATAGGTATTCTTAAAGATAATTCAGCTTTCTAGAAAAAACTACGTGACTCAAAGACATTGGTTCTGGGCAAAATGAATGAAAATTCTCTTAATTTCTATACAAGCAAATTCTTTATAATAAAAAAAAAAGCCTGATTAAAGAGTCGACCAATCAGAACAGGGTATATTTTGGTCAGCACCAGAAGTCTGTCTTTCTTCCTTCTTTGCTTATTTATTTATTTGTCTACTTTTGGGCCCTAATAAACATCTAATTTTCTTCTCAGAAATGTAGATGCATCTATGAATCCACTTCTAGGTTAATCAGATGTTCTAAGAGGATTTTAAGAAAGTTGAAGAATTGCATCTAAAAAACAAAACAAAACAATGTTTATTTACCGGAATAGCATATATATTACTATAAAACAGTGAACATGAGCAATGTTTTATTACTTAAGTTTCATAAATAAAGGATTCTACAAGCTAAATGATGTAAAAGGCTGAGAAGAAGTGGTTTATATATAGAAAATGCTGTAATGTACTCCTCATATTTCACTTGTCACTTTCTCTGCTTTAGAGTGTGGGTCATACTGCAGGTCAGCTCTGTAACCAGGGAGTCACTCTGTTCTCATACACAGCAAGCAATGGATGTGATGATAGAGAATCGCTGCTAAAGGCTTTAGATGAGTCACCAATGGATCCTTGTTTGCTCAGGGTCAGGAACATGTCGTTTTAGGACCTTCTCTGGTTCGAATAAAAATGGTCAATGCTGTGATGGCAAAGATACTTAATTAACATAGCCGATTGTAGCAGTTTATTTTTTTAGATTGTAACCCGAAGTTTCCCATTTTTGGCATGAAAGCTGCTCATTTACGAATGCACTACATGTCAGCATTGCCAGTTTTTTAGCTCAAAGCACACGCTTTCTTGTGGATTGTGCCACTTAGCAAAGTAGACTTTAAGCGAGCAATTTTCAGCATCAAAGAGCTGTTTCAAATGAAGCCAGAAGTAGAAAGATGGCAAAAGTCATCTAAAGGGAAAATGTATTCTCCAGCACCTGGCTGCAAGAAAAGCAGAAAGAGGGCAAGTCCTGAACAACAAACGATAAAGACAGGAGGGAAAAAAATCTGATTTCAATACTGTCCTTTTATTTTCAAATAACTACTTTGATAGAAATAAACATTTTTTGAATCATTATTAGGAGATCAAAGTCTCCTAATCTGAAAAAAAAATATCTGAAATTTATGATTAAAATTTTTTTAGATGCACTAAAAGTAAGACAAGCTGTTCCTAAAATAAAATAATTTTTCCTTGGTTAGAGAAAATAAGCAATGCAATTTACCAATGGAACAAAACAATTTACTTTTAAAATAAAAAAAAAGAAACCCATCATCCTATTTCAATTTCATAATATCTAATTATAATCAATGAAAGGACAAAAATACAAATTTTATTAGCAGATCATCTTCTTTATCTGCTCAGGGAAAGTATACATATTTAAAAAAATCTTTACCCATTTTCTTTTTTTTTTTTTTTTTGCAGCATGTGGCAAAAGCCCTTTCCAGTGTTATCTCTTATAAAAATGTATATGTAAATGTAAAATGTATTTATTTTAGTTTCAGATACAAACTGACTTAATCTTCGCTATTATTTATCTGTTATATTACACATAGTAGCATCGTGTTGAAGCAAGCTGTAAAACTGTAAGGAACATAGTATCTCCACCCCCACTCATGACTGCTGCAGTCTAGATTTCGATCAATACGGTATATTTTAAAGCAGGACCCACCGAGGCGAAGACACTGCCTCATTAGTCCTCCAGACGACATGTTCTTCTCCGCTTCGATCTCACTGAAGTTCAACGAGCTGGCAAACACCAAAACGTCCACCATGGCCATCAGGCGAGACAGAAAAGTGACCGCTGTCTCTGAAGACATGCCCTGCGTTGCTTCTATGTTTTCCAACTCCGTCTAGGATGGAGAGATGACAGAAATCCACATATGTTTGAGAATTGACCTGCAAGTAACGGGGTTATAAGCTCACTGTATATAAGGATGTTTTTTAAAAATAAATCAGCCTTGGGAAAACTGGCCCTGGATCAGCCATGGCTGTCTGAGAAAACAAACGGGAACAGGAAGAGCAACCTTCAGTGTCATGCTGAGAAATCAAGATGATGAAATCTGGTAAAGTGCTCTCTAAAATACAGAGTAAATGCAGCCGGATGACACACAGGTAATGGCAACAGTGGCGTTGGGACAGCAGCAGTGCGGCTTGTGGTCGTCATGTGACCTTTAAATCAGCTCTGCGTTAATCCCAAAATGCACAGAGTTCAAATGTAATATAGAAAATTCAATCGCAGCATAGCAGAGCTTTTAAATCAAGTGTTTGGGTTTGCTGTTTCACTGCTTCTGTAATAGGAGTGTGCAGATCTGTGGGGAGTAGACAAAGTGCACGCATCTGAAGGCTCATTAGAGCACAGACAGTGGAGGAATAACAGAGACAGAGTGAGGACAGAGGTGCTCTGGTTGTTGCTCTTAGTTCTTCTGGTGATGATGAGAGTCTCAGGCTCAGTACGCACCTCTCCCCCTGCGCCTCCTCCCCCAGGAACGGGGGTCACCTCCTCTCCCTTCGAACCCCTCTGGGGTCCGGCTCCTCCTGCCTTCTTTAGTGTTGATACAAACGGGACATTCTTAGCAAAAGCAAGTCTCTAGGACTGCCTAAAACACGCTTCTCTCATTGAAAATAAACTGCAGCCCCGCTCAGAAATTCCCACAGACATGAAGAGCATGAAGTCAAATTAAGTTTAAACTTTTAGTCATTTATTGGAACGATTCTCAAAGTCAATGGAGGGCACCGTATAAAGCAAACAAATACATCTTGATGTAAGTAAATAAATGACAAAATATTAATTCTGTTTTATTTCATACGGACGTTTATATCCATTAATGGGATATTTTTTATTAATAACAGAACTTGTTGAAATGTTAAACTAATAATATGCAATATATGAATTATTTAAACTGGATAAAAAATATAAATACACCTTTACAGATCCTGCTATCTATTAAAACTTTTCCAATAACAGCCTTTAAATAGCAAGTTTATTTTAGCATTGTTTTAGCCTTTTTATTAAAGCTTAGTACAACTTCTATTAAACCTCAGTTATTACATGGATGAATGTCCCCTAATCAATTGCAAACAAGATAGCCAGTTTTAGCCTAGCTGGATGTGTTTCTACAGGGTTGAAAGAATGTGTAAGATGTATTCAAAATGGTCATTTTGGCCACCAGTTTAAAAATAAAAAAGGCCATCCCAGAAGCTATATGTCAGCATAGCAGAGAGGTCTGCAACCTTCGGCTCCGGAGCCACATGTGGCTCTTTGGACCTTTAGCAAAGGCTCTTAATACTAGCTAATAATGATATAAAGGACTAACTAATATACGATGATAAAAAATATTAGTGTTAGAAGCTTTAGCGGACTTTATGACAAATATTTGAATTGAATTTTCACAAAAGAATGACATTAAATGAACCAGAAATATGTTTTTCGAGCCTTTTTCTTTTAACTAGTTAGAAAAATATGTGTTTTTTTATTATTCTAAAAGCTAAAAACACAAATAAACTGCTGGTTGTTTAAGGTGGCAACAGATGGCAGATATTTACCTAAAATAATAGGTTGTGTTTTATTAAAAAGTAATGTAATATTTTGCAGTCAGACTTTGCCTTTCAAATCTAAAGAGCAAAATGGATCTTAAGATTTGAAAGGTTGCAATTAGCTCAGTATAAACAACCCAAAACCATTTTTAATGTGTCTTTGGGATCCCAGTCCTGTCCATGCTTTAACCAACTTTACTTTTTGATTTAAAGAGCAGTTGAAGAATCTGGAAGTGGTTAAGCAGAACTTCAACATGATGCTGCCACTACCCTGTTTGAGAGCTTCTCTAGGATTGTTATGTTTGAAACCCTCAGAAATCACCAAGGCTAATGCGGATTATAAACTGGTGTCACTGGATCGTAATGGTGCTGATGAAGAAAGGAGCCTCTGCTCTGAAATAAGTAACCTCAAGCTCATGTGCTGTGCATTACAGCTGTCGAATAGCAGTAAAGCACAGGTGTGGCAGCATTATGCCAAGGGTTTGTTTTGCTTAATTTGTAGCTGATGTACTTTTTCAGTGACAATAATCCAAAAATTAGAGGGCATGTATGTATATATTTGATGGTTTATGTAAAATTTTGTTAAATTTCAGACATCTAAAAAATATGCACCGAAATGTTAAAAGATAATTAATAAGCTGTTCTGTTGCATCAACAACCAATCAAGATTATTTATCAAATAAATAATTAAAAGCCCAAAATTAACTTGAAAGTGATTGCTATGTTGACCAGAACTATTTTTCTGACCTGTTTTAAAAAAAAAAAAAAAAAAAAAAAAAATGACTACAAATGATTTATTCTGGAGAAATTCCATAATCCTTTGTTATGCTTCCCCTCTTCTCATTAATGACTTATATTTGTTTTGTGTCCTCCGCAGGTTTAATCTCAATTAAAGATTTAATTAGTGGCAGAGAAGCTCAGCAGATACTGTAGGTCACCAGGGATGCCAGACATACATGGGTTAGTGTTGCTCACAATGATACCAAAAACTAAAACAGGAATGAACAGAGTTGAAAAAGAAGAAGAAACTGTAACTTACAGTGTTGGCACTACTCTTAGAACTCTGCGCATGCAAAACAGACAAAGAAAGACAAGAAAATACGCAAAAAAGAGATAAAACAGAGAGGAAACCAAAGATTAAATATAGAAATGAGAGAAATAAAAAGGTTCTTTAAATTATAAAATCAAGTTGTTAATTCAAACGATTAGAGCAACGTTTAAATAAAGATTAAAATGCTGTGTTAGGTCAAAAGTTAAATATATGACGTTACTGAGGAGAGGAAGAAACCACATGTTCTTGGACGTTTAATTGATTCACAAATATATTAATATGAAATTAATATTAAATTCTTGAACTTTTAGCATTTTATTGTTTATGAACAAACAACCATAAAACTACAGGACGAGACACATTTTCACGTAATTCCACAAATATCTGAAAGATAAAGAGCTGCAGTTCTCTTTACTACCCCATGTGGGCAGAGAAAAACCACTTACGGAGGGGGAGGTGGCAGCTGACAGGAGAGGAAGGATGCCTCCACAGGCAATGATAATGTTGTCCACCATCTGAGAAATGAGGTGGATGGTGTTGTGGACAAAGATGATGTTTTCATTGCTGTTAACGAAATCCATCACTGACTTGGTGGAATGGCTGGAACAAAATAAAAGAGGGGAAATTAGGGCAGAAAGGTAACATAGTGATGCACCTGAGAGGGAAAAAGTGCTGCTGACCTATTTTTGCGCAGCAGACACACACAGCTCACGTGGGTCTACTCACCTTCTCCACACGTGCACGTCCGTCTCCAGTGCAAAGAGCAGGTCGGTGAGCAACCTCTGGTGCATCGGGGACCACTTGAATTCTGGGATGCGGAACATGGTGGTGCGCGGGCCAGGGCTGAATTGACGCCTCTGCTCTTCTGTCATGGGCATTCCCCGGAAACCCAGGTCAACCCGCAGATCCCGCTCCAGCTGGGCTGCGGTACGGCCATGCAAGGCCTACAAAGGAAAGGACAACTCAAAGGTTAACAGTGCATTTTTCACTCATGCCTTTACATAAATATAAGTTGGAACAGTTCACGCTATGACTCATGGCTACAGATAAGCCAGTGTCTACTTTTACTTCCAAACAGGTTTCACCTCTTCAGATAACTGAGCACATTAAAGAAGTTTGCTTGTAAAGATCGGTTCGATCTTTTCATATTTACAAGATAAAAATTATTCATAAACAGTTCATTAATACCAAGTAGAAGTGAACAGACAATCATCATCCGTCTCAAACAAAAAAGATGCTTTATATTCAGGGTAAAAAGATCACACAGCAAACTGAAGTCAAATTAAAAAAAAATAATTTCTTCAAGGTTTTTCCAAATCCTACTGTATACTTATTATGTATCCCCACTAATGCCTGGATAATGTCTGTAGTAGCTTGGAGAGAAACTTTGTGGTTTTTGTAGTTATGATTAAGGTACTGAATGTGCATAGATACTTAAACACTTGTCAGATTAGGAGAAAACATCTCCTGGCATGGACTCCACATTTAATCTCATTTCAATAAATTCAGAGCTTTAAAGACGTATTTTGAAGTGTACTTGGAACCTCCATTGACTCGGACTACACAGTTGACCAACACCGTTACCTTTAGATGACATGAAATTGATTGTGATGTTGAGAAGCAACTTTAGAACAAGATGGCTAAGACTGGTGCTGGAAATCGCTAAGCAACAGATTCCCTGTCCACAGGTTGGATGTTTGGAGGAGCCAAGCTGAGGCTTTTAAACCAAACAATTACTTAGCAACTGTGAAGCATGGTGGTGACAGCATCAAGCTGAGGGCTAGGGTAGTTACCTCAAAATTCTTAAGGGCAGATTATACTTCAGCAACCGCACACATCAAATGTCGCTTGGGTCTGGTCGCGATCAGTTTTGCTGGTATGCTTCTGCACTGTCGGTCTGGAATTTCTAGGGACAACAGCAGTTTCCCGCAAAAGCGCAAGGAAGAGCCTATTCTAGAACCGGTGAGAACTTCGGCGGCGCCGGTGGTAGTGTTTATCTTCCAAAACAACGATGGCACGTCTGCAAGATATCACGGTCACGGAGATGGATCTAGAGGTACTAGACATCCAAGAGGAACAGGTTCTGTTAATGGAGTTGGCAAAAACCCCAAATAACCTTTCGTCGTAGTTGTCCATTGTAGTTGTTCCTCGGTTTTTAAAAATGGCGCGTCCCAGCACCGAATCAAGAAGGAAGACCACACAGACAGCCGAAAAGGCATACCAAGGACCAATCACAGCTGCTTTTAGTCTGCACACTTGTGGTTGAGGTCTGCGCGGGTTTGCAACCGTCAGGATTTTTTTGAGAAGCGCGACGACGGTTGCAGAACCTCTGCGCGAGGGCAGTGGTCGCTCACAGAGACAGATTTGACGGTTGCAGAGGCTATGCAAAAGAAGCATAACTTGGCCTTTAGACTTTGCTTTGAATCCTCAGATAGAAACTAGACTTAAGATAAAGATTGTTAACAAATACAAAACTAGTGGAACCATCAGTTTTTGTTTTTTTTATAAATTTGTTTAATAAGTCTGATCGATTCCTGAAAACTAATTAATCTAAATAAAATCCCAGCTTTTCTAGAAGTAGAAAAGCAAACAAAATGCAGCTGGATTTGTTCAAAATCTTTGATTAATTCAAAAAGTCCTTACTAGAATACTGATTGGGGCGTATACCGGTACACCCTATTTTTCAGACTATAAGCCGCTACTTTTTCCCCACGCTTTAAACCTTACGGCTTATAAGAATATGCGGCTTTTCTGTGGATTTTTCCTAACCGCCAGAGGGGGAAGTCAAAGTTAGAAATGAAAGAATAAGGGGCTAATTTTCATTTAGCACAAGAACATGCTAGCAGCAGGCACAGCGGAGAACAACTGTCCAAAATGTACACATTTTGAGATTTATTTGCCGCATTAAAGCTGCTGAACCAATGAAGAGACTGGGCTAAACTCCTGTAGAGCTGAAATAAAGAGCTGACAAAGCCTCATCTTTCAGTAGAAGCTTTAACTGCTGCGAGCCAACAAGCTAACGGGAGCTAGCATTGTTCTTTGTCCCTACTCCAGGGTCTACATGTAGAGCTCCCCCTACAGGTATGGTGGGAGACAGTTCAGTATACATCGGGCTTATAAAGGAGCATTTGCAGTTTTTTGATGGCTGCGGCTTAAAGTGAGGTGTGCTCTATAATCTGGAAAATACGGTAGATAGTTTTAAACTCTGACATCTGGATCAGTGAACTATTTCACAATCAGCTAAAACATGTGGAATCAATCCACTTTTTAAAAATGTATTAAAGTATAACCATATAATTATTACACCATGAGACATGAGGGTTTAAGAGCATCATCAAGGGGCCCAGATCCACTTTATCTTAGACATTCAAGTCTAAGGTTTGGTATTTTCACAGAATCATCAGGAGTTTTTGGGAGTTTAAACCCACCTGGGTGGTTGCTGTAGTTTGGATTTTCTTTGTGTCCTTGTCTTTCCCATCATCTGACCTCTCTGTATCAGAAGTGGTACTGGCCGTGTCTCCCCCGGTCTTCAGCCCCACAGTCTCCCCCTCTGGCCCGGATGCACCCTCCCCCTCAGGGAATTCTGGCCTGGTCGTCCCTTGGAGCTGGTTCTGACTCTCGGCTTCGGCGATAGAGCTGATGTCAGCTAGAGGACTCTGGATTTTAAACGGTCCGTCCTCGGGGAGTTCCCCGGAGTGGCGGCTTTGGGTTTGTGTTAAATCAGAGTCACAGCTTGTCATGTGGGCCAGCAGGCTGAGGTCATCGCTGGCGCTGGTGGTAGAGTGAGCGGGGACAGTGCCTGATGGAGCAGGTTGGTCTGGACTTGGAAGGACGAG